CTCCCAAACTACATACTCATAAATACAACTGCCTACTAGACACCTCTGATTGTCTAACAGACATGCAAACACATCACGTATGACTTTGAACTCCCAACCTTGAAACCTATTCAATAAATAGGGGCATCCTTATCTCAACTAATGGCAATGCCATCCTTCTAGTTGTATAAGCAAAAAACCCTGAAGTCCTTTTTGAATTCTCTCCCTCACACCCCTCATTTATTCTGTCAGAAATCTTATTGGCTATACTTTCAAAATATATCTAGACTCTGACCTGGTCTCCCCCTGCCCCTTTCTACAGTGGCTATCTCGGTCTGAGTCATCAGTGTCTTGTGTAGATTACTGCAATAGCCTCTTAACTGTTCTTTGTGTTTTTGTCCTTGCCCTGGTATAATCTATTCTTAAGACAGCAGCCAAAGTGACCTCTTTAAAATGTGAGTCAGATTACATCACTCATCTGCCCCAAATCCTCCAATGGCTTCCTGGTTTATTGAGAGAAAGTCAAAGTCCTTGTGATGACCTACATGCCCTGTAGGGCCTGCCCCTCCCCACTGCCTCTGTAACTCCCACCACTGCCTATCTCACTCACTCCCTTTCAGTCACGGGCTTTCTTGCTTTTCCCGAAACAGGCTGGCGCTCCTCTCTCTTGGGATCTTTGCTCCAGCTTTTTCTCTGCCTCCCCCAGACCGCACTTGGCTAGCCACCTCGCCTCCTTCAAGCCTTTGCTCGCTCATCACCTTCTCAATGAGGTCTACTCTGATCATCCTATTTAATACTATAACCACCTCACCGGGTAGGTCTGATCCTGCTGATCCTAGTCTTTTTCTCATTTCTGTGTCACTTAATGTCCAGCACACTATATAACTCACTTATGTACTACAATTTATATACACTGGACTGCAAGCTCCACGAGGGGGGCAGCTTTGTCTTGTCCAATGACTGAGTGTCTTGAGTAGGACAGGCATACACTGGTGCTCAATGAACATTCATTCTCTAAGTGAACGAACAAATATATGAATCAATAATGTATGTCCAAATTAATACTGAGTCCTAATCCTAATAATTCCACCTAGGAACATTTCTAGTACCCATTCCTCTGCTCCATAGCTAATGCTACTTTTATTACCTCACAACTGAGACTTTAAACTCACTGACCTGCACTCACCGCTTGCTCTCTACCTGGTCTGTCCGCAGACCAGTACCCCTTACAATGTCGCTCACGTCACTCCCATATGTTGTTATGCTTGGCCTCTTCAGGGCTCTCAGATCCCTTCCCTTGGTCTACTTTTATTCCCTTTACCCACTGCCCTTTCCTTCCTGAACCTCTCCTTCCTCCTCGCACTCTAACCTGCCTGCACACTATGACCTCTACTGCTTTGTCACAATGCATATTCCTACCCTGTGCCCTCCCCTCCCCTCCTCTCTAAATGTCCCTGCTAGTGCACTTCCAATTTCCTCTGCAAGGCTTTCCTGACCCTTCAGTTCACAAGGATTTCGCCATTCCCTACATTCACAGTAACTTACAATAGACCCCTCCCCATTCAGCTGAAACAACCCTATATTGCCTTGTGGAAGCTCTTAGAGGTTTTTTAAACTACATTTTTATGTAACTCATGGACTGTTATGTAAAATTTCTGTGGATAAAAGTCTGAGGAAAAGGGAACATTTAATTTGTAATTGGGAGGCTGATTGATACGTCTTCTTTCTCCTCGTAGTTATAGGCTCCCTGAAGGGGGAAATGCTTTCCTTAAGCTCCCTTGTATTCCCACGGGCTCAAACACAGCAATAAGCCTCTATAGATATGAAACAAGTGTTTGTGGGGAAGTTGCATGATTCAGAATTCACACAGGGAGGAGGCCACGAATGCTACGGCATTTTGCTGGAGTACAATGACCAAAGGAATAAAATATTAGTGGAGTCGACCAAGGTTAAAAACAAAAAACCGTAAGGGGGTGATTAGCTTCTTTTCGTTAACTGTCATTAATGTGGGTGATAATTTGAGGATCTGAAGCACTAATTGATTTCAGTTCTTTACTTACAATCAGGTTGTTTTGTGCCAATATTTTTTCCACTTTGAAAGGAGAAATGCAGCTCTTCAATGTAGTAGAAGAGGCCCGCCTTTAGTCTAAGCCCTTCTGTACTGCAGTGAAAGGCCGAAAGGCCCACTGGACCACTCTGCACGGCGGGGCTCGGGAAAGGTGCTTTAATCAGGTGACCATCAGAGGATGCAAAAGAGGACAGTGTCTGCATACCGTGTTTGCACTTCGCTCCTCACTGTCTTTCCTAGTCTCTGCCTTCTATTCACTTAGCAGACACTTACTGCTGCCAGCTCTGGCCAGGGATGGGCAATTACACGCACAATCTCATTCAGCCTCACCACAGCCCTTGAAGGTAGATATGGATGTTCCCACTTTACAGCTAGAGACCTTGCTCCGCAAGGTTAAGTAATGTGGCCAACTTGTGGCGAACAAATTGTAGATCTGACATTTTACCCCAGGAGGGCGTGGACATCAAAGTCCTTGCTTTTTCCACTTGGTCAAGCTGCCTCCCAAGTGCTCAGGATATATTTGAGAGAGGCATGAGTGAATGAATGACCCCAAAGGTTTGCAGTTTTGACAAACACAGTTTAACCTCTGTAGACAATGCAGAAGAAAATAAAGCAATGACATTAATGTTTTGTTAAAGAGATATTACTGAAATACAAATGTTGACATGGCCTAAGTGTTTGAATGAAACTTTATGGAGGAGAGATCTAAGCTCTTCTTTGCTCTGGAACAGGGCTCCGACTCTTTTCTCCTTCCTGCGATATGCAATCTAGTTATCTTATTAAATCTTCAGGTCCTTTTCTACTCAAGTACTACACAGAGACCCAAAAATCTGGGAGGCCATGACAGTCACCTCTGTATTTCCTCCTCTCTGTGAAGCTGGGTGGCCACAGTGAAGAATAAAAGTACCTGCTAACTACAATTTGATACTATCTCAAAGGTGCTAATCTTGTCAAGACCAAACCCTGAATGTGTAAATCAGTAGAGAAAGAAACGTGGTGACCCAAGACAGGTTTCAAGACAAATGACATCAAATCAACACTTTACAATGCAAAAGACCAAGTTTTGAGAAGGCAAGTGGCTCAGAGCTTGAGTCTCTCCCACTAGCAAAGAGTTTTGTAACAATTACTAGATTCTGTCACTGACCCAGGAAGCCTGGGCCAAGCAGCTCCGTCACCCCAGCCTGCACTGTCTGCTCTCACAGCCCCAGCCATCACTCTTATCACACAGAGGCTAGCCAAACTGCTCCCCAGATTACTAGTCAGTGAAAAAGACTAGTCCATCACCAGAATCTCTGGCATAATAAATTAATGATGTAATAATCACCTAATTCTCAAAATGTGCAAGTTATTGGTATCTAAATGTAAACAGAAAAAAGAATTTAAAGCCTAATACTGTAGCATCATCAATGCAGTATCTTAGGTATTTCCTTGGTTACTTCACTAAGGTACTGTTTCAATTGAGTTACAGTCAACACTCCTCCATATGTGAGAAAACCATTTTAAAAGGCCCATTAGCCAAAAGATCCAAGTGGAGGTAAAGGCCAAGAAGCCTTCCAATTCTTAATACTCTTCTATCTTTTAGGTGGGGGTTCCTGCATATTGGCAGGCACATGAGTTCTAACAGCAGAAGCTCCCCCCCCCCC